AAATGGCGATAATACATGTTATTGCATAGAAAAACAAACTGGTCATAGAAATATTTTTGATATTTTATCTGCGCTCGTCAAGGATACATATAAGATCAAAACGACACGTGACGCCAGAGACTTGTAATACAATTGCATGCGTATACATTTTTTTTTTGTGAATTCAGTCATTTTCATCACTTCAAGTGCAGCAAATCCTTGTGATTTTTGAAATATTTGCCACTGGACGATAATAAATAAAAACAATCGACAATCGTTAATGACGAGTATTGTCCTGTATGATGCTACGACAATGCAAACTATATTGGGTAAATAGGTTCCGCAGAACCCAGTGTCTCGCCTACTTTCCGAATCCATTTTGGGCCCTCCTTAAACATAGAAGACAGGAAAGTTTACCCAAATTCCTTTTAGTCACGTTTGTATCTATATATTAACTAAATGTCTGCCAAATATTAGGAAGATTGAGAGATCAGGGTGTTCTTACCATTGCCCTGTGCTCTTAAGCTTTGTCCTGAAATTTTGTCAATTTTTAGATGAAAAGTGACAATCTAAGCCCTCCGTAGATATCGAAGATGACATTATTCTGGGAAATCCGGTTGATACAACCTTTATATATACAGAGTCTATGATTTTGTAGAATGTTATGGACATTGAAAGACCAGGGGCGTCTCATTATCGAATATTTTATTTTTTTATGATTTTCAACTAAATTTGAATATCGAACGACTGCTAGCAGCCGGTTGGATATTGAATATCGAATATCGAATAACGAACTGGCCGCTAACTTCACATCCATCCTCAATTTTAGTATTCATCCATACATATTTATATATATACATATAATTTTCTACACAGTTTTTTTATATTTACACCTATGCATATGAACTTTTTTTTTTTTAATATGTACTACTTTCCAGTATGTTCGTTTCGACCGGGCCAGAATTTGTGGTGTTACAAGTCATCTACTAAAGTCTATCAGAATTATTTTTGCAAATAAGTCCGGTCAAGCCGGTGTTATGTGTCGTCTTAAACTTGCAGTGAGGTGAGAGTTTTTTTTCAGCGATGAAGGCCTCACAGTGACTTTTAGATGAAGAACAGCAATAAAAACTGTGCATGTACTGATATATTTTTTTGCATGGATGGATTCCCCAAATCCAATGTTTCTTTTATCTATTGGCGATGTTTCTATCACTTTTTACCTTCAATCTACTATATTATAAATATTAATATTTAAACAAAGTTAACTTTAGCATTCATAGCAATCTTAAATCATTACGACTTTTCCATCATAGAAATCTAGGATTGAATAGTGATACCGATTTTTTTTTAACATAATCAAAATGGCCTCAAAAAGAGAGAAGACAGATATTTTAGAGACATTTAAACTCATAATTCGAAAATAAATTTGACAACGACATGGCAAAAAAGAAAAAGACAACAGACAAACAATAGTAAACAAAACACAACATAGAAAACTAAAGACTGACCAACATGAACCCCATCAAAAGCCGCGGGTGATCTTAGGAGCTTCGAAGGGTAAGCAGATCCTGAATTAACATACGAGATAACTTAGAACAAATTCACACACAATTTTAAATGATTTATTTAAAATCATGTTAGTAATCCAGATCAACCAAATGTTAAATAAGATAAGTCGAATGTTAGAAAAGTCAAACTTCATTTCTTATCATTTAACATCATACAAAAACGCTTCGTTATTGGATGTATTTGCAACTAACAATTCATTAGTGGATGTGTCAAAATGCAGAGCACGTGGGACTCTCAGTCTATCGTCACCTGATAAGAGTTGTCTGTAGCGTTGTCCATCAGGAGAGATGACGACCACATTGCGAGTAGTACATCCCGCTACATACACATTACCATCATTGTCTACAGATATACCGAACGGAAGTTGCAGAACACTTTCATCACAGAAATTCCACAGTGTGTTACCATGGTAATCACAACAGGTTACACTGTTTTTTCCATAGTTTGTGTAGAACAGTTTGTCACCGAATGTTGTAACGTACGCAAGTTCTGGGAGTTTGGTATTGTTGATATTGGTAATGGTTTCGTCTTTCCGATTGATCATCTGTATTCCTTTCTCCTCGGCACAATAAATCAAATGTCCATCTTTGTATACTACGCCATAAATGTTTGAATTTAATTTTATTGATCTCCTCCGTTTGTGCTTCTTTAAGTCTATTATATTAATCTGATTTGAATTGCCGGATGTTACAGCAATGGAATCATCACCAATAAATACCACATCAAACGTTTGACCAATTTTCTTTATTTCGAAATCTTTTGATCTGTTAGCGTGGAGTACTCTTATTGTATTTTGTTGATAACAGGAGAATACCATCCAATCGTCAGGAAGTAGTGAACAACCATGAACAAATGACAACTCGGTATTGATACATTGATGAAACTTAAGAGTCAGATTATCGATATTTCTGGTTGGAAGACCTTCCATAATCTGGGCTTGTCTGTCCTTCCGTTTCTGAATGGGAAAATCACATGGATCAGAACTGACATTAATTTCCCCAAACTTCTGTACGCTTGCAGTCATTTGCTGTAAAGACATGTTAATCTGGCATGAAATATTGACTTGATTTTTGGAGTCTGCAATATCTTTTTCGATATCTTTCATGGTTAAAAATGTTTGAAGTTCGGACGCATGCCGTTTAATACTAGCAATATTTTCTTGTACTTCAGTGATTTTTTTTTCTTTCGTTTTCAGAGTAGACAACATTTTTTCTATTTTGCTTTTCTCTTCTTGTTCAACTTTCATTAATTCTTTAATCAAGTCATCCTGAAGTTTATCAAGGTGGTGATTAACATTTATCCTGGTTTGTTTTATTTCTGCTTCAATTTCTCTTTTCTTGTTTTCTATAGATTTTAAAGTTTCATTCCTGTTAGAGCTGAGTTGTTCAATATTCTTGACGACTTCCATCAGGGTTTGTTCGAATTCGTAAAAGGCGTTTGAATTTTTAATGTCCTTTATGAGTTCATTTATGTCGGTTAAACTTTTACAATCGTTGTGAGATTTCACACATTTCTTACAGCATGGACAATCGTGTTTTCTACAGAACAGCTCGTATTTCTCATTATGAAGTTTGCATGTCTGAGCAACTTGCAAGACTTCGGTTGGTAACTTTTTGTATTCGGCAATAGAAACTGTTTCGTGACTTTTTGATGCCCTAGAAACCGCGTGATGATTCTTACACTCCCCACAAAGTCCTTCATCACATTCAGAACACCATACTACTGAATGTTTGGTAATCTGAAGATTATCACAAACACCACAGATACTCCAATTAGTGGCCATAATCCAAAAATAGATTGCATGCACTTAAATGAGTACTTTATTATATTCAAATCTTCATCTGAAAATGATCACTAAACCGAGAAATTCTCGTGTAATTTAGAGTTTGACATTTGTCTATTTCCAACAGAGTGGCAATTGTTAGTACCTTATGCGAATTTAGTACGAACACAAATTAAACAATACAAGAAAAAAGTTTTTGTAATGTGGGTGGACAAGTATTATCAGGCAGTAATTTGAATTTCTGTTTGAAAGAGAGGGTAATGCTACGACAGGGTAAACATTATGCCGCGCAACAGGTCATCTACAGACCTCTCAATAATTGATGATATCGTTCTTCAACCGACCAAGAACAAGACAGTCATGATCTCAATGTATTTATCTTCCCTATTTCAGTCGGACGTGAAGAATTTCCCCCTAAACACGAGTCTTGTTGCCTGGAGGGAGAGGAACAGGTGATCATATCACTATACAAAGCAGTTGGTGCCAGTGTAAAACACTATACCTAAATTTTGAAATAAAGTTTGAGGTTCGAATTCATTGTGGCGGGTGCAAAACATCGGGTACGTAAAGTCAAGCGTTTTTGATTTTGGTATTTTAGCAAAATTGAAGAAAAATAAGAAAGTAAGAAATGTCCCGCTTACTTCACTGATCATGATTAAATTTATACTGAAAGTATTTTAGAATAATGTTAAGTAAAAGTGTCAAATTTGAAATGATCGACATACAAAGTAAATGAGGTCATGGTCAGATGCAATGGCGTCTATTTAATTTTAAAATCTATAAAACCTTTTCTTGTGAATATTCAATATGTGTTCTGCAATACGTAGCGATTCAATATCTAAAATCAATTATAGTTAATGGTGCATGATGAGATTATGAATTGATTTTAACGTCCAGGGGCAAATATTACACCCACTCTGTCCTTTATTAAACCGACATGATGAGGTAGATTTTTATGAGCTATAGTTCAAAAAGTAAAAGACCAAATATAAGATGTACTGCTCTTATTTGCAGGCATGCAAGTCTGGCTCCGAGTCAATAAAATTGTTTGGAGTCGTGCACAAAAGTAAAACACGACGGCCAAAATCATCCTTTTTATCACTTCACGCTTGCCATTAGTTTCATATATCAAAAATAAAATTATGCTTAAAAAAATAACAATAAATAAAGAAGAAATGAACTGTGTAGCTCAAGTTTTACTCAACTAATATTCTGTCATTATATTCATTTCTGCAACTTGGAAGTTCTTACACATAGTTTTTGTAGTTAAAACATATGTTGCAACACTTTATTTACTTAGTATACATGGCAAATACAACGTTAGCAGTGGTTAGCTTTTCAATGTGTTTTTTTATAATGATTTACATACATTGTCGTTACAATGTAACTGAAATAAACAATAGATGATAAGACTCCATACAAAATCGAAGGGGACAATAACAAAAAGTTGAAATATGATAAAGGCAACATTTATTAATAAAATAAAACATTCAACGTGTTCGAACATATCTCATATAGAACTGAAACGAAAGTTGATCATAATAAAATAAAAGAGTAAACAAATTCTACATTATTAATGATTCATGATTTTTTGGTTAAATTGTTTGTGTGGATGTCTGTGTAAATTATGACTGTATTATACAGAGAAAAAATGATACAAATTACATACCTAAATAAGTCTTATAAATAGAACATTTCTTTGGGAAAGAAAGGTAAATGGTCACATGATTTAATGTTTGTAAGCCAGGGGACATAATTATTAAAATAAATTGGAAAGAGATAATGTTTACTCGTGTATGTATATACTAATGCACAAACAAACTTTCACACTTTTGACTGATTAGGATTCCTTTAAAATTCGTATCATAATTTGTGATATCTTTATTTTCCAGATGATATTTTTATAATAATTAAGTGCATAATTTTTAATATTAAACATATATATAAGAATCTAAATGTTTAGAGGTCCTCCATTTTTTTACTCACTAGTTTTTGTGTCATTTTTCTCTTTTTTCCTAAGCTAAATATTTCCAAAATGACACATGTAATTTGTAAAACAATTCAAACGAGAAAACTAACGGCCTAATTTAAACCTTAGGATTAACATCAATGAGAACGCAATTCAACAACTAAGATATTTGTGTTAAACTTACAGAAGTTAATATACAGTCTATCAATAGACAGAATGCCAATGTCAAATTTTAAGTTCTTTAGGCCACACCAATTTGATAAATAGTTCTTTGAATTTGTTCATTCCTGTTATTAAGAAATTGAATTTTCAATTAAAAAGTTAAGTACCGATTCCGCAAATGTTTTGGTCCACATCCCGCTCATAAACTAGTTTATACTTGATTTTTTTTTCGCATAGACGTTTTTTTATTGCATATATTACTCAGACCGATTCAAACGCACGAGTGATAAATCGATTTGTAAATAAAATGTCAAAAATCAGGATGCCAACAATCAGTTGTGTTAGCTAATTGCCGTGGACAAGTAGTTGTTATGCACACAGTTATCCGAAAAATGCACATCGTTTTACCTGTGAAAACCTGTTCTAGGAGGCAAAAATTAAAATTTAAAACGTTAGATGACCACAATCACAATATTTTTTAGAACCATAGTCATCCCGATCCTTTTTTTTAACAGGGAAAGACTGATCTATATTGAACCATCTTAGATGAAATTAATTGTAAAGTCCCATTAACGTTTTAAAAAAGTCACAGAATTCTATTATTTTGATGAAACCCCTTATCCCCTTGTTAGTCTATTGGCATGCAAGCAGAACACTTTTGTAAGAGGAAATTTAAGAGTTCCTACGTTCGAGACCAAGGTGGTGGTATTGTGATTGGCATGCTAATAATAATCAGGGACGTGTACATGGTTCAACCACTTCTAGTCATGATTAAGAATTTTAGATGTATTGCAGTTATTAGGACTAATACATGTAATAGGAAGCTTACAAAGCATAACTGGGATAAACCAGGAACCATACGCATATTGGCATTCATAAAGATTCAAATCCATGAATTAATAGACTTCTGACTTTTTTAGAAAAAAGTACAGAGAATAGGTAGTGTATATGAAGTTCTGGCAAATCTACAAGTGCTTTCATATTTGCATTCACAATTTTATGTGATTTCAAACGACTCCTACTAGAATTGCTACTCAAGAGTATCCCCAGAAACAATAGGTAGGGTTAGCTTGTCAAATTGTGATTTTGACTTGACAGTGAACTGGTTTGTGACAAAACTGGTGGAATGTAGTGTTAATTACAGGTTGTGCTTCGGGATGAACATCATGCAAGGTGGTGACAGGGCGTCTGCTTGGGGTGCTTTCATGTGAAAATTATGTACATGTACGTGTAGTTGTTTTCTGATAACTTCTTATAGCGGCGTAAATAAGTTTCAAGTTCTACTCATTTTCATCTTTGATTTTAGTTGTCATATCTCCTTCCGATGTATTTTCTACGATCTGTTTATCCAGTTTAAGAATAACACTTTGGTCTTTTACTGTAGCGTCATAAAATTGACCTGGTATATCAATGTAAATCTCAAAGTCAGAGTTCAACTCTAGAGTTTCTTGAATTTTTTTAAAATGTAGGCTATATTTCCAGCTCAAATAGACTTGATTCTCGTCGAATTTATTTGTTATCCTGGTCTCGATACAAATCTTGTGTATTAGATATAACTCGTTGTACCTATTCCAAATGGAAGAAGACGTCTATACAAATGAACGATTTAATTATTTAAAGATGGATTACAATGACATTTGTACAGGTACCATGACTTGGAATTGTCTAATTAAATCAGAGTGATTTGTTTTAAAAGTATGATTTATATCCTTCACTGCGAGAAGATACTTGTATCTACTTTTGTCATTAGTTTTATTGGGAACAAAACAGGACAATTTCTTTCAATTTTCAAGTTTTAAGTTTGGAATGGGGAATACCTGTACAAAGGGTAGACAAGTTGAATAATCTAATACTATTGCAAGATGAAAGTGTCTTAGATTGTATCTATAATTCAATATCCAGATATGATTAATAAGACTAAAAAGTTTCTCAATAACTTTGAAGCCCGGTGTCATATGGTATTTTGAACCCCATGGTAAATTGACCCCGGGGTCAAAATACCGCTATGGTAAATTAAACCACCCTGTATGGAAAGTTGACCCCACTGGTAAATTGAACCCCCTGATGTTTTCGTTCTAGATGATTATTAGAACATTATACATTATTCTAAAGCTTATCATAGATTATAAATCATTCATACAAGAAAGGGGGGTCAATTTTCCGTGATTGGTTAAAAGAAATATCTTTGCTTGGTATAAGTGCTCTGAAGTCTTTACCAACAAAATTTCATTCAGAATACTTATTGAAGCATTATTACTAGACCATGTTACTCGAATGCTTTAATTATTTGAAATTACAATATATATATATAAGGGTAGTTTTAATTTTCCAAGGTAAAAAAGGGAGAGGGAGTCAAATTACTATGGCTCGGTTAAATTTAAAAAGTAAAATTTTCAAAACATCTTTTCAAGCATGTTAAAAAACATACAAACTACTTATTGGGGTATTATAACTGTGTACAGGAGTTATGATAGCTAGAATTTTAAAATTTGAGGAGTAAAAGGGGGGTCAATATTCCATGGCAGGGGGGGTGGGGAAGGAACCATGGCTAAATAAAATTTTCAAAATATCTCTTCAAGCATGAAAAATACATAAAAACTACTTTTTGGAGTAAAATAACTATGTAAAGGAGTTATTATAGCTAGAATTTTTAAATTGGAGGTGTAAAAGGGGGTCAATACACCATGGCAAGGGTGGGGGGGGGAGGTTCAAAATACCATGGCTAAATAAAATTTTCAAAACATCTGGTCGAGCAAGTAAAATAAATACAAACTTCTTATTTGAGTATAATTACTATGTAAAGGAGTTATAATAGCTGGAATTTTTGAAATTTAAGGTTTATTGTAGGGGTTCAGTATACCATGGCAGGGGGGTCAAAATACCATGGCAAAGTAAAATTTTCAAAAAATCTTTTCCAGCATGTAAAATACATATAAACTACTTATTGAAGTAATAACTATATAAAGGACTTATTATAGCTAGAATTTTGAAATTGGAGGTGTAAAAAGGGGGGGTCAACATACCATGGCAAAGGGGGGGGGGGGGGGTCAAAATACCATGGCTAAATATAATTTTCAAAACATCTTTTCAAGCAAGTTAAATACATACAAACTACTTTTTGGAGTATAATAACTATGTAAAGCAATTATAACAGCTTGAATTTTTGAAATTTAAGGTCTATAGTAGGGGGTTCAATATACCATGGCAGGGGGGGTCAAAATACCATGGCAAAGTAAAATTTTCAAAATATCTTTTCCAGCATGTAAAAAACATAAAAACTACTTTTTGGAGTATAATTACTATGTAAAGGAGTTTTTATAGCTAGAATTTTCAAATTGGAGGTGTAAAAAGGGGGGGGGTTCAATATACCATGGCGGGGGGTCAAAATACCATGGATAAAGAAAAAATTCAAAACATCTTTTCAAGCAAGTAAAATACATACAATCCACTTAATGGAGTATTACTACTATATACAAGAGTTACAATTGCTAGAATGTTTTAATTAAAAGTCTATAGTAGGGGTTCAATATACCATTGCATGGGGGTCAAAATACCATGGCAAAATAAAATTTTCAAAATATCTTTTCCAGCATGTTAAATACATACAAACTACTTTGGGAGTATAATTACTATATACAAGAGTTAGAATTGCTAGAATTTTGAAATTGGAGGTGTAAAAGGGGGGGTTCAATATACCATGGCAGGGGGTAAAAATACCATTGCTAAATAAAATTTTCAAAACATACTTGTAACATAGATTTAAAAGAATAATGTAAGGACGCTTTTCATCTCAACTCAATATGTTTATTATGAATAACATTATAGAAATATGTGTTAGACATGTACAAGAGTTTTGAAAGGTGGTATCTGAATCCCTAGTGGGGACAAACGTGATCGTAAGTTAAGCATTTAAAATAAGACCTATGCTTTCATTAACGAATACTTCTTAAATAATTGTTTTTACATGTTAAAATGACTTTATTATGTGCTGATTAAGATTGATATAGGGAATAACTGATTTTAATTTTTCAGCCTTTTCAAAAATTATAATTTAAATAGACAATGCCCTTAAATATTCCGGTGTAATGTCGTAAAAGAAATAGCGAAGTCTGAAGTTTTACCAGAATAAGAATTGTGTACGGAAAACGCTCGTTTCGTCTACAAAAACTTAGATGAAGTTAAAAGATTAAACATTGCTTTTGTGTGTAAATCACATTACATAAACCGCCTAAAAAATTAGGTATTCACAATTGACTTGGAGACTCAACAAATACAACCTCGACACTTACCTAGGAAGAAGTACTAGATTGACATAGGTCTGTTCTATGTACCTTTGGAATTTCAATCAAAAATGAAAAACTAGATCTTACTTTAATGTATTCAATTCCTAAAGTGTAATTACACACATTGTGTTGCTGGGTCTTCCTAGTGATATATTGAAACCTCTTGCTATTAAAGTTTTATCATCAATTTTATCAACAATCTATCCGGTGTCATTAGGTATTTTGAACCCACAAAAGAGTGAACCCAGGGTCAAAACACCATATGGAAAATTGACCCCAGGGTCATTATACCGCATGGTATTT